AAAGCAGCCTTTGGAAATCTTGACAATTAATCTGAATGCTCTGCAGGCAGAATAGGTCCAGGGAAAGGATTTAGGTTAGTAAAAGAAGTAGATAAAACCTCCTTCTGAGCTGTAACATTAAAAAAATAACTGGTTCTTATAAAGGGATATAAGCTTGTGGTCATAAACCAGCCTCTAGGTTTTGGGACTCGTAAGAAAACTCTTGCTAGGGAAAACTTGCTCCCATATATCTTTTAAGAATACACTCATTATAGATTTGAACATTGCTACTGTAAACAAGCACCTGCCTTGTCTTATTCTTTTAGCTTCAAAGGATTTGTCTGTCATATCTGCCAAGACATGGAATTATTTAGAGCAAATCTCGGTTTACATAACATTTAAAGCATATTTTTCAAGTGAGATAATGTCAGCCTCCTCTCCCAGATGTGTTCAGATGAAGACAGTGACCTTTCTCCGTTCTCTGCAGCACGTGTGACTCGCACTTTGCAGTGTGGTATGTATTTGTGTTTACACTGCCATGGAAACCTTATTTGTTCTCTGTACAGTAAAGCACATTACAGTGAAAGGGCCATTGATATTAGCTTAGACAGTGACTTCACATTCACCACTAAAAATTGACTCCAAGCACCCTGCGCATTCATTTTCCCTTTGAGAAAAAAAGCTGGAGGGCAAGTTACCAGTGAGCAGCAAGTCTTTGGGGCAGCAGAATCTTCTCTGCTGCTTTAGTAATTGGCAAAGTCTTGGGTTTTTTCCAGCAAGCCTGGTACATGGAGTTGCTACAAATAATGATGATGATGATGATGAGATGACGGGGTCTTACGGTGCCCTCATTTCAGTGCCCTTCAGCTGAATGGATTTGGTTCCTTGTCGGGCATGTCCTTCAGAACGATCCAGAAGAACTCCACAAATTTCAGGTGAAATCTGAAGTACACGGGGGGGCCACTGCAGATGCCTGTGCAGATGCAGCGGCAGACAAACAGAAAGCAGACACCAGGATATCGGTTCAGAGCAGCTACCCCAGCTTTACCAGGGAGCAGTGCCAGTAGTTCGCTTCTGTCATTTTCCTCCAGCTAGATTAATATCAGCCCATTCTAATCTTAGTTATGCTTTTATACCAAGGTTTGCTAAGCTATTTTTCAGCTAGTAAGAACAGGATCTAGGTCACCAAAATGCAGCCAGCCGAGATGTAATCCAATAGTTCTTTAACACAAGACAGCACAGTGAATGCACGAGGAGTTTCCCTACCACTCCAGGGCAAGCAGAGCTGCGTCGGGAGCTGGAATTCGGCTGGAGCAGAACTAGAAGTTTTGCTTTTGGGATGGGAGCACAGCGAGGCAGAGGCATGTCAGGAACTTTAAAGGCCACAAGTGTAGAGGCTGCATATGCTAAATAAAGTTTAATGGAAGAAATGGTCACCTTTTCAGGGGTAATTTAGAATCACAGAATCATGGAATGGTTTGGGTTGGGAGGGACCTTAAAGTTCACCTGGTTCCAATCCCCCCTCCCATGGGCAGGGACACCTTCCACTAGACCAGGTTATCTCTTGATGCACAAATGTAAAACCAGAATTAAAGTTTTGACATCATATTCTTACCTATTTTGGCTGGACGTTTATGCCCCAGTGGATTTAAACAAAGGTGGGTGCAATTCAGGTCATGCTGCAACACAAAGGGGAAGAAATTCTGAAAGGTTTGCGTTTGGTATGCAAGAAAGTAAAAATGAACGAAAATTTAGCAATAACCATGCTTGTTAGTTCAGCAAAGAACAGTCACATGAAGGCCCTGAGAAACCAGATCAACGAACTGAAAGACACCAAATGGGATGAGCCGTCAGCGGTGCAGGGACGGCCGTGCCCTCAGACGGGAAGGAATGAGGCAGCTCGTGCAAGTGGAACACACCACTCCGAAAGGCGCATTCTGGTTTTGCCCAAGGATCGCAGTTTGTCATTTTTATCCTGAAATATGGCACGTAGCTTTCTGCTTAAGGGTGTTTTATTCTCAGCTCTCTGTTTTCGGGGAGACCTGATTTTCCACTGCACCACACGATCTGCTCACGGTTTGCACCACTGCGGAGTGGAAGGGAGTGCAGGGCCTGCCATGAAGCGACAATGCTGCTTTGAACCAGTTGTCTACACAGAAAAGTGTTGCTTAGTGGGGAAATCCTACCGAGAAAATATTTCAGATTTTTCTCCTCTCTCGCAGGTTCCCAGGAGTTTGGAGCACATGAATATTCCAGGCTTTTCTTTATCCTATGCTCACAAACTCCTTTATCAGCCTCACAGGACACAAGCAGCCCCGGAGGCTGAAAAAATGGATCAAAAAGACAACCTCAAACAGAAGCCAGGCAGGGGCTAAAAACTCTTCCCTGTTCATCTGCTGGCAGATCACACAGTTCAGTGTCTTGCAAGTGTTACAGGAGCTTTCTGGAACACAGCATCTGCCCATTGCCGTGAATACGTGCAGTTGGCCTCCTGAATGCTAGACATGCTGGAAAATATAATGTTCTTTAACTGAGATTTGATGCTTCAAATAGCCATCCATATCTTTTGTATCTCTTTTCTACTGGAAAATTCAAAGTGCTGTGAAAAGCATCACTTAAAACAAATTCAGGAATTATATAATTTTAAAAAAAGTATGGTATTGTAAAGAGAACATTGAGGAGAGCATCCTGTGCCCAGGATAATCCCTGGTCTGATTTGATGCGGGTTTTCAAGATGCCAAAGCCACAGAGCTCATCAGCAGTCTCCTTTGCCCAGACACGGTAACCCCGGGAGAACAGAAGCCATCCCCCCTCGATGCCCGCTCTTGGTCTGTTCCCCACCAAATGTAAAAGAAGACCTAAACCCACTGTTGTTCAAAGCTGGCTTGGATAAATTAAGCTCATGGTCAGTTTTCAGCCCAAACCAGCTGAACCTAGGTCCAGCTATTACAGATGCAAAGAGAAAATGCCATCATGTTCTAGCTTTGGTGCCATAACGCAAGGAAGAAGTAGCGTCTACATATTCTGTTGCAGAACTGAGATAATACCGTAAGTTATAAAAATATAGTACCAGTAGCAGAAACGAAACAAAGGTCTTGAGCCACCCAAGCAACACAGAAACCTGGACTCTGAGGCTGTGGCTCTTCTCATCGCTGTCTGGGGCACAGGAGGAGGAAAGGGACGTTGGGTCCTTCCCTCTGCTATTGATAATTGGCGGAGCAGGCCTTTCAGCTTGTAGTCACCACATGGTGCCATCTTTTTGATTTTTTACCACTGACTGGCTGTTCTAACCTGCCATATGATACTTGATCTGCTCGGGTAGGCTGTGGACATCCATACCCGACCCTGGGCTGCGGGGAACAACCAGCTGGCCAGCAAATCCAGCCAGATTTCAAGACAAAAATCATAGCTGGGCTAGTTGGCTTTGGCTTTAAGAAAGACTGGCAGGGATCCCGCTCACAGCATAGCATACCCCGTTGGAAGCGATTAACTGTTTGATAAGGTCATTTCTTTAACACATTAATATGTTTACTGCCCCACGTTCTGCAGAGCCTTGAAGAGAGATGCAATTTTCATGCTTCCTTAATAGATAGGAAATAGAAACCCTGAAATGAGCAACAAGAAAGGAAATTTTGACCAATAATAAAAGAGATGCCAGAAGGATCAATAAATGTTAACTCAGGAGTGTTTCCTGAACACCCATGAAAGGGCAGATCGCAAATTTCTGATTTGGATTTTGACACAAAGGTCAGCTTTCAGAAACACCAAGGCTGATTTCTACAAACAAAATCCCATTACCGACTATAAAAAATGTTTTCCTTCAAAAAGTGAAGACCTAGAAAACCAAAGATTTTAGCCAGTCTCTGTCAATACTCAAATTTACAGCAAAAGCAAGTAATTATGTTTTCCACCCCAAATTTGAAACACGTATTTCTCATCCTATCAAGCTCTTTGCCATCGCGGAACGGTTCAGACAAGCCCTGCTAACCAGTTACAGGGGACTCGGCGTTTATCAGCCGAACAGCACAATTTTGCACATAAACTCAGAATAACGCACATAATTTTGCACGTAAACCGACAATAGGTGGGCTCTGCCGGCCGATGCCCTCAGAGGGCTTTTCCCACCTTTTCTACGATTCTGTGAAAACGGGGGGACCCACACCGGGGGTTGGGGGGGCTCTGTGCTCG